TTTGATGGATTGTTTATTTTCTATTATTTTGATGCCAAAATAGACACTTATGGAAAGAAAGATCAGGAGTGATTTCCTTAAACAGTAAAAGGTGTTATTTTTATTTCTTAATAGCCTTTTTTTTTTTTGTTAATTTTATCATCGAGAAGTAGTGTGAACCCCATTTAGTTAATAGTAAAGTTCAAGTCCCTTCTGAAAGGAAAGGATTTTGAATATGGAGTATTTTAATTTTCCAGCGTATTGTGGTGTGATGGGAAGAAGAATCTTTCTAAAGTCACTCAGGACTTCAGTTTCTGGCACTGGCGTCACGTCATTTCTCTAAGCATACTTCTGACATGTTTTGCTTATGCTGCTAGGGGACAAATTTGGCATGTGGCATGTAAGTTTTTTTTTAATGACCTGGATCAACAGGTCATTAAAAGGCCTGATCAACAGCCAAGGAAGGGACTTTGACGCAGATGCCGTGTTGATCTTCCTTTATTTTTGAACTTCAAAACAAAAAGGAATTCTAGGCCTAAGCTCCATGGGTTCAGTAATTTGTCTGAAATTGTTAGATCTTCCTGTGATGCCAAACAGAAATATAATGAAAACTACATAGTAATTTTTAAATGTTTAGTAGCTCTATAGAAAGCATAAGGAAAGAGTTGAAATGAATATTAATAATATATTTAATATAGAATATCAAATAGAGTGTCATTGAAACACATACTCAGGATAAAAAAATCAATGAGCTATTTTGCATTCTTGAAGAAAACCCAAGTTTTTAAGTCTGTGCATATTTGAAAGGCCTGATTAGCCACATGTACTATGTCCAGTATTAGAAAGCTCAGTTTTAAAGTATCCATCAATTCTGTCTTTTGTTCTCTGCTTATTTTAATGTTGACACTAGTCTGTTGCTTACAAGCCTACGCTGGGGAGTTCATTCAGGATTTCTCCCTCATTTTAACTGTGCAAGTGGCACTGGGCATTACTGCTCATGGGGCACATTTAGTGAATTAGTTTTATATTGTTTTACTTGTTTTTGACTGTCAGGCAGTAAAACAAGTGACTGGGATCTCGTGGCCTTTCTTTCCTTTCCAAAGTACTTGGCTTTCCATCAGGACCTGAGATTTCTTGATTCTATTGAAAATCACTGGTGGGCAGATCAAAGCTTTTCGTACCCTTTACATTTTCTTTCAGTGAGCCGAGGCCGGCTGACAGCCACTGTGTACTGCGCTGCTTGCTTTCCAGGCTGTCACTGAGGGGAGGCTGGTCTTGGTGGAGGGGAGGATCCTCACTGTGCTCTCCCACTAGATTTAGGTGCGTCTTTGTAAAAAAAAAATACGTTTTTAATTGCATTTCATGGTGACGATTAGGTTGTTGTTCCTTGCTGTTATCATTCTGATAAATTATTAAATCTTTAAAAAAATTACAGATCTGAAGGAGTAAGGAATGATTGTTTCTTTTCATGTTTTTTACCACTTAGTTCTTTTTTTTTAAATATTAATTCAGAGGTAAAACAGGAAGAGTTTCCCTAAGATGCTAAAATCACTGCTGTTAATTTGTTTTTCTTTAAGGTAAAAAGCAGCTGATTTCTTTTTTCTGAATGTGTTGTTCTACATCCCCTTGCTTTCGTTTCCTCACATTAATTTTTTCCTTGACTTATTTTAGCGGGATAATCTATAATTTACAATGGCTTAAAGCAGCTCTAATACTGAATTTGAGGCTCCTCTTAGGATGCAGTAGGCCAGAGGCAGCAAAGCAGAACGACCTTTCACCCTTGACCCCTGGGATCCTCAGTCTCCCCGGGAGCCCGGGAGCCCGGGAGCCCTGAGGCTGTAGGGGAAGGCATGGGGAATGATGAGTGCATTTTTGGTTAAAGTCTCCTTTACCATTCTGGATTTGCTTTCCCAGTGCCTCGGTCTGTTCAGGGTGCTCTAGTAGAATATACCCTGGACTTGGTGGTTTATGAACAATTGAGATTTGTTTCTCATGGTAGGGTGGCTGAGAAGTCCAAGATCAAGGTGCTGGCAAACTCAGTGTCTGGCGAGGGCCTTCTACCTGGTTCGTAGACAGCTGCTTGTTTACTGTGTTCTGCAGTCTGCAAGGGGCGGGGGGCTCTTCGTGGCCTTTTTACAAGGGCACAAACCCCATTCATGCGGGTTCCACCCTTATGACAGTCACCAACAAAGGTGCCACCTCCAAATACCATTATGTCGAACATGGGGTTTCAACATATGCACTTTGGGTGACACAGACATTCGGTCTGGAACCCCTCAGGACTGTCCTCTGTGCCCGGAGGAGTGCTTTGCCCTAGTGCCCTCCAACTGTCCTAGTGAAGGACCGGTTTTCAAATCCCCAGTCCATTATTTTATGATACTTTTATAAAATGGAAGTATATTACTGGAAAAATGAAAATAGAGAACCCCCCCAAAAGACATACCAGTCTAGATTCAACAGATAAAACATTTGCCCGTCATTTTGCCGTGACATTTCTAACACTCTCAGTTTCTGCATGTATTTGTTGCTGAATGGGCGGGTAACACATAGGACGTGGCACGGGCCTGTGTGTGATTCACAGTTGGAGGTGGGGGCAGCCCTCTGCACCTGTGTAATTCTCCTAGCAACCCCTCCGTGGAGTGTGTCCTCCGTTTTATAGGTCAGCACCCAGAGATCAGAGCGGCTAAGTAGGGTGCCAAGGGCGTGCCCGTGCTGGAGCTGGAATTCCAACCGGAGCTGCAGCTCCTCTATGGGGGTCTTTGTTAGGATCGGGGAAGGGATCGCTCCCCCTGAACTGGCTGGCTTCCCACCTTCATTCTGTAGAACACGTCGTAGGATGAACTGCTCTGGGATGTGGCCCTGTTGCGACTTATCTGTGCTCTCTCAGCCGCCCTTTGCTAGAAGGGGAGGGGAGTGGGCAGAGGAAGGAAGGTACGTGAAGACTAAGAAAGCGGAACTCAGGTTAGTGAAGATGGCTAGTTTTCGGTATTTCTAAGGCAAGTTGCACTCAACCTTAAGCTTTTGGAGAATCTATTAATTTAGTTACTGTGTACTGTCCTGGGACTCCCATTATTAGAATTCCCATGCATAGTCGGTCATGTAAGAGAAGGCCAAGATAAATAGGAAAATAAATTAATATTTCATGATCTCCACAGATACTTTCAGTAGGTCCTCAAAATCCTTGCTGTTTTTATTGCCATACTTCTGCTGTGAGTTCCCAGTACTACCTTTATTCATAAATTAAATGAAGCAATGAAAACATATACAGTAGAAATAAGACCAAGGCTATCTCCCTGATGCAGTATTCTTTCGGACCATAACTTAGTTAATGTTAATTTTAACCCGATTTGTACTTATGCTGCACAATTATCTTAACTATATCAGGTTTCTGAAAGTTTTGACTGAGGCTGTATGTATGATTTTATTCTCTTCCATGGCCTAATACTGTATCTGTTCAAAGCAAATGGGTGTGATTGGCCAGGTAGGGTTCCAGGGAAGATCATGAAAAACCGTTTGCAATCACTAGATTATTATTCTGAACTATTAGGGGTCTGTGTTTCTTAGGATAATAACCACGGGAGGAAGGAAAAATAATTAATTCTCTTATAGAATTAAGCTCAGTGATGAAAAGTTGACAGGTATTTGACTTTTGAGAAAACATTTAAAATGCTTTTGTGAGTATTTTACTTTTTATAGCTATTATTATTGAAACCGATACACTATTTGCTAGGTGTATTTCTAAGAGTGACAAGTGCATTATCATGCTGAATATCTACGACAGCCTTTTGAAGTCAGTGCTGTTTTTTAATTTTTTTAGATGAGAAAACCTAGGCTCATTATTCTAAGTTTTGAGAGTCAAAACTTATGTATGTGTAATTTCCTTTGAGGAAGCCCTGCCTCCTGTAGGGTGTCGCCCCTTTTCCCAGGAGGCTTCCGGAGACAACTGGGAGTTCCTGTGGTTGGTCCTCGTGAAAGTATTTTGTGTTTTTCTCCACCCCATCCCTGCCGGGGAACCAAGAATGCCATTATTGCTGTTGGGAATATTGTTTCACGCTGTGAATTTGTGTGGCAGCTGGGCACAATTATTTTATTCGTTTCCCAATTGACCCGACTTAAACCAAGAACGAAGACAAGGTCCACATCTGTGATAGCTGTTAGAACAGCTGTCCCTTCTGGTAATTGAACCATAACCTTTTTCCCCCTTTCCACCAGGGTTTTTCTGAGTGGGTTTCTAACAAAACACTGAGGATAGATAGAAATTGTTGTCCTTCACAAGACTGGGATATGGGGTAATCGTCTCCTAAGCAGGACGTACCAGGGTATGTTAGTGTTTGGAAAATGCAGCTTTCATGTCTGTTTCCCAGCTGCATGCCCACCTCTGTTGTAGGAGAACATTTCGTGGTGCTGTGTGACTCTTCAAGACTCTCTGGAGAGCAGGGTGGAGACTGAGCCGACACAGTCCTTTGGAGCTGATGCTCACATCCCTCTATTAATTGGTTGGCATGTGGGCCAGACGCAGAGTGAGAGGGCCTGCCAGTGAACTAGTGAGCTTTCTAAACGACCTGAAGACAAGAACTTTCTTCCTGCGTGGTCGGCCTGGCCTGATCTGATCTAACAGGTTCTCTACGTGTGTAGCTCATTTTGCCCTGGTGGCCAGTTTTAATGCTCCACATTAAGAAAGGGAACTCTTTCTAAATTTCAGGCTGCAAGGTATCACACGTGTAGTCGTTATTTTACAGAGACCTTGCTGATTTCCTAAACTATTAGAAATTATGCTTGTTGGCAGATCAGGCTCCTAAAAGACCATTAAAGAGCACGACATTGAAGGCAGTGGTGTCTGCTGGGGAAAGACGGTGGGTTTTGAAATTTCGTGACATAAAACCCCAAAGCTCTTTGCAAACCATTTTTGAATACTTCAATTAATGATGTTATGTGTTCTTTATTTAAGATTCAGAATAACGTGTTATTAAACATATCCCTGGAGTTCAAATTAACATTTCCCCCCTTTCTTTCTCGAGCAGGTTGTCAAGTTATTAAGCAACAAAAGGTCACAAGCAGTTGGAATATTAATGTCTAGCCTCCATTTAGATATGAAAGACATACAACATGGTGAGTAGAAAAATCAAAGTTCAGCTTTTGAATACTAACATTTGGGCTGAAGAGTATGATGTTTGGTGGTAAAATTATTTCGGAGCTTGTGTGTGTGTTGAGGTTAGTGTATTTCCTGTAAGTGCTACCAAAGTTTCTTCCACAAAGGAAGACTTTTCTGTCATTTCTCTGTCTTGCTAAGAGCCTGGTTCTCATGTGACATATTTAGTCTGCATTAACAAATATTTAAATTTGAATTCTTTACAAGTAGTAGTCCCACTGTGCTCTGTTACTCGTTAGACTGGATCTAAAGTACTTGCTTCTGGATGCCAGGTTCGGGGAGTGACGGATGAGCAGTAAAAACGGGCGGGGGGAGGGGGGTTGTTGGGTGTATCTCGGCCACTGCAGACACCTGGAGAGGAGAGTCCACAGGAGAGAAAAAGATGGTGAGACTTGAGTCAAGGGTTCGATGAACTAACATAAAGAAGAAGAAGTAAACCTAAAATTTTCTAGTAGATCAGCTTCAACCAGTTGGCAGAGTTACAAGAGAGCTTGTTTTGTTTGTTGTTTCTGCTGACTAGAGATATCGAATAGAAGACAGAACTGCCATATTAAGTGATTAAATGAAAACTCAAAACTCTAAGCCCTGGCTGGCGTAGCTCAGTGGATTGAGCACGGGCTATGAACCAAAGTGTTGCAGGTTCAATTCCCAGTCAGGGTACATGCCTGGGCTGCAGGACATGACCCCCAACAACTGCACATTGATGTTTCTCTCTCTCTCTCTCTCTTTCTCCTTCCCTTCCCTCTCTAAAAATAAATAAATAAAATCTTAAAAAAAAAAAAAGAAAACTCAAAACTCTTCAGGAGACTGACTGAGCCTTTCTCTCAGATGTTTCTGAAGCATTGGATGGGGGGGGTGGGACATGCCGTCCTGGTCCCCCATGCCAAGATACTCTGAGATGCTGAAAGAATCACTGAAGCTGATTATTATGCATAACTTTTCAGGGTGAAGAACTGGTCTCTCTTCTTTCAGTTACTTGGGACAACTACAGTGTACACCACTGGCTTTTCTACACATAGATGGATTGAATTATTTTTTTTCTAATAACCATCAAAGATAGTTTCAAAGTATTCTTGCCTACTTATATTATTGTTCCTGGTCCAGACACATGGAAGCAGTAATATGCATGACCTCTTGTTATTTCTTTTATGTTGTTGCTTGCATTTATGTCTTCAGCCAGGCTTATGCAATCTTTTTTACATTTGGAATCAGGATGATTTTTAACGTTTTCTTAGTGGCTTCAGAGTCAGTATTTTAATACTTGAGTTCCACCCTACAATTGACAGACATTCCTTGGTCTTATCCTCTGATCACATTTTTACTGAGAGATATTGCCCAAAGGTGAATGGAGGAATTAAATTTATATTCGGAAGGTCTCCTGTAAGCTGTCCAGAGCCTTAGAATAGATTTAAAGCAGATTGAATTCTCCAATGGAATGCCAGTTTACCTATTAAAAAAACGTGGTTTCAAGTAGAACGCAGACCTTATAAATCACGAAAACCTTTAACTGGCTTTCTAGCTTACCCCTTTATGAATGTGGATTCTATTTGTTAGGCTTAAAATACTGTGTGGAATAATCCGTAAATAGCACATGCCTGGTATGCCTTGTCCATTGATGAGTAACTCTTCATCACGATTTAAGTTTTCATGAAACTGTTTTGATGGTGAGGAGACTTCCTCAGGCTGAGGAAGTATTCGGGGTGGCGGTCATCGAACAGGCGCCGAGAAGTTCTTGGCATTTCCAAAGCTGGCAGATGCGGCCCAGTGAAGTCACAGAGCGCAATCTGAAAATAATGATATGGTCCTTCCTTCGGTGAAATATTCAACCCCGGTCGAGTTAATAATGAGAACCGTATGAACAAAGGAGCCTGCCTAACATCTGTGTCTGTGGTCACGCCAGCAAGAGTTCATTGAAAAATTTGCAAGCTTAACATGGGACACTAACAATAACATAACATGGATGTCGGTAGTTGAGGGGTCACACAGCATTATGCAAAAACTTTATCCTATTAGGATGTAAAGGGATTGCTTGAGTCACTTTGAAGCCCTGCACAGGGTTTTGTAAAAAAGGGTTGCCTAAAAAGTTTGAAGGAGCAAGCAGCGTGGCTTTGAGTGGGTAGAGCCTCGTTCTGCCTCAGTATCTTGTCTGGAATCATGCCTTATGTGTGTGAATCTTTTGTGGCCTGGAGCATAAACTTGACTTCAGGATAGGCCTCCACTGAGAAATCCACAGAAGCATAAATGTCGTTGATTCTGGATGGTGAAGCAACCACAGAATGTATCCAGACCTCCAATGTCATCTTACTGAAGAGCGAACTAAGACCTTTCAGTGGTCAGGTTTCTTCGTCAAGGTCACAGCGCTCTTTAGTGGAACAGACTGAAGGGCCACCGGCCCGTCCTGTTCTTTGCGTTCAGATGAGATGCTTCTCTAAGACTGTGCCTTTCCTACAGCCAGCACTGGTACCTGTAAAACAAGATGTATGGAATATTGTCTTCAAAAAAGCAGGCCTTAGTTTCTCTCTGTCCCTTCTTCCCCATTAAAACTCTGGGAAACTTAGGGTTGAGCTGACTTCGTAATGTTTCTGTTTGAAAGTGCCCTGTGAGAGTCATTAGTGGGAAGGTTTGGATTATAGTTGCCAAAGGTCTAATTGTGGTCTTGCCACTACATCCACTGAGCACCAAGTCACACCCAGACTGGAAGGGACACACAGGTTATTTCCTGCCATAGCACATGTGGAGCCCTGGCTGGTGTGGCTGTGGCACTCAATTAGATGAGTGCCAGCCTGTGAACCAAAGGGTCGTTGGTTCGATTCCCAGCCTAGGGCACATGCTTGGGTTGCAGGCCGGGTCCCCAGGAGGCAGGGGTGTGAGAGGCAACCACACATTGATGTCTCCCTCCCATTCTTTCTCCCTCCCTTCCCCTCTCTAAAAATAAATGCATTTAAAAAAATAGCACATGTGAAGTCCTCAGTGTCACATATAGTGGAAGCATCGGTCTCTTGATTAAGTTTATTGCTTCAACAAATGCAAGCGAGGCAGCCCAGACTAATGAATTCTCTGTGTGTGTGTACATGCGCAAAGGTTACAATGAAGGCCTGAGCTGCTGGAATACAGTTGCAAATATGTCTGGTAACTTCTAGATTATTATGCAGGTTATGACAATTTGCAGTGGGAAGGGTGGAACTAGGGTGTACCACCTCTGAAAAACCCCACTCCAGTGGTTTAGAATAACCTAAAGCCTAGGATAAAAGTGCCTTTCAGAGAGGATTTGCACTAGTTTGTGCTGGAGCTTGGGGGCGCTGTGGGGTTTAGCGTCCTCTTAAATCAATCTCAGGAGGTCCCGCCAGGCGCTAATGGCTCGTCCACTGATGAGCTGGCATTCCTGAGTCCCAGCTTATTGTCAGGGCTGTCTGTTGGCCCTGAGCTTTAAGATTTGTCGCTGGCCCCATGAAGCTGTCAGTAGAAAGCTCAGATTTGTTGAGAGGGATAAATACTCCCCCGGCCAAAGCGGTTTCTCAGCTAGCTCATTTTTCCACTTTCTCTCCTCTCTTGTTTAACATGGTGATTGCCATCCTATGAGCTCTCTGATGCCTTTAAGACATTTTACAAATATATTTTTATCCAACATCTTGAACTGTTCTCAATGGGAAGGTTGAGTCAAATCATCTAGACCTATTCCTAGAAATAGGTATTATGAGAGTACCCTACTGCTTTGTAGTTCAGTTTTGTCAAAATAGGTTGAAACTTCTGCACAACATTTTGTCCATATTTCAGGGCTCAGTATGGTATTCACAACTTGGTAGAGATAGTAGCAGCGACCAAAGAATTTTAAATCTTGTAAGGCTCAGCTTTAACGCCCACAGTGTCCCTACTGTGTAGAATATCCACACAGTTTATCATCCACACTAGAATAATTCTGAGAGTAGAAGGTGCTGCTATGAATAATATTGCCAAAGGTCTAACAGTGCAACAGTGCCTCGGCAACAGTGCAAAGTGGGAATTTCACAGGCACGTGGGTAGTAGAGGGAGCGGATCCCACTTCTGGATCAAGTGGAAGTCACTTTCTAATTCTCCTTAATGAACAACTATTTATTAAAAATATCTGCTGGGCTCTGGCTGGTGTGGCTCAGTGGGTTGGAGTGTCATTCCATAACTGAAAGATTGAGGGTTCGATTCCTGGTCAGGGCATATGACTAAGTTGTAGGTTTGATCCCTGGTCTGGGCACGCACAGGAGGCAACCGATCAATGTTTCTCTTTTGCATCGATGTTTCTCTGTCCCTTCTCTTTCCAAAAGAGCAATGAAAAAGTGCCCCTAACTGATGATAAAAAAAATTTATTTTACATGTATTGGCCAGCAGGGACTAAACAGCATGAAAAGCCTGCTTTGTACACCTGAAGCTGTCTAGCTCTCTGGCTTTACAGGTACTCTCACCAGTGTCTTCTCTGAAAGGTTTGCTCCAGGCTGATGCAAACGCATCCTGGAGGAATCTCTTACCTTTATACTCTGCACCAGGCAACCAGAAGCCCAACTCAGCCAGTGGCTGTGCCCCAGGCAGCCTCCTTAAGTAACCTCGCTGTAGCCCTCACTAGATTCTCAGCCTCTGTGGAAGGGAGTGGGGTGGAGCTTCTTATAAGAGATTTTAACTAATCCACAGGTCTTACTGACTTTTATTTCACCAGCAAATGTCCGCTTCCGACGTTAGTACGCTAAGGAGAACAGCTTCAGCTACTGTTCTAGCCAGGACCAGCCTGGGAGCTTGCAGTAGCTGCTTCCCGAGTAAGGCCTTTCTTACACAGTCAGGCCACAGTGAGTTGGCTGGCCAACCACCCCGGGCGTGTGGATCGCCATTCTCAGGACAGCAGACTGCACCTCACGTTAAAGCTTGAACTGGCTTGTGTACACTATTATATTCCCTCTGTATACATATTTTAAAGTGGATTACAGATACTGTAACAAGG